GACTAATGAAATATCAACTGTGCATTCTCTCAGTTTATTACATCACACTCAAATGTATTGTTTTGTGCAATCAATATTAACAAAGATCATGTCCATTAAAATGTGCACAGTGTTCTGTAGACTGAATAAAGCACATAAAACTTGTTGGCTTTAATCAATAAAAAGCCCAGAGCTGCACAAAAATTGCTGGGTCATGAAACTATGAAGCTATTAAACTCTTTTGGTTTTTTTAAATAAATCACTTTTTTACATGGGCATGAGTAGCTAATTCTTTTATAAATTATTAAGTATTCTTTTCATTGTTTATATCATATTAATACCTCGAGGACTTATCAATGGACCAGGTCTCCAGCTGCTATGTTTCCAGTAGCTGCTCACATAAAAGTGAGAAATTCCCTTACATGGTGTCTTTCACTTACTTTTAAAAGCATTCCAAATTGGTTTGGATAAAGGCCGTGTGGGTAAGGCCAATATTGCTACAGAGACTGAAAACTGGTTGGCAGACAGGATCCCATGACCCGTAATGAGCATACAGTGAGGGACAGACTGACAGGGCCAGGTGAGGGATAACGTGGACAAGACTATTTGTGAACTGAAGCTCCTGGAAGGATGTGGTATAAAGTTGGATGTTTGGAAAGGTAACAGTGTCATGCTGTGGTGGGTGTGAGCAAAACCAAGGGTCTAGGACTCAGATGTTCTTAAAATTAATCTTGGAGATATATCGTAACTTACCTGGAAAAAAGGTAGCTGCCAGACTACAGAGTCTTGATCTATGAAGTGTAGAAATTCCTTCTCACCTTTGGTTTAGCTTCTGCTTGTGTCTAATAGAACAAAAGAGTCAGGACCATCCCCTCCAAAAAGAAAGTAGGCAGGGAGAAGACATTTTGGTTGTAACACCTAGGCTTGAGGAGGAAGACGTGATAGTGGCCAGGATCCAAATACAAAAGGGCTTCTGCATCTTTATAGGTGATTATTGCAGCAGTTGCCTCAAAAGTCAAGTCCCAAAATCTTGAAATTGCAGGACATTGTGGGCCCCTAAGGCTGGTTAGAAGGAACTAAGGCTCTTCACTGCTCTGAATCTAGTCCACCTCAGTACTGAGAGGTGTCTGAAAGTTAATCCCATGATGAATGGTCTTCACAAAGTTGGCTGTTGCTGGTCCACATCAAAACTGGCATTAAACAGCAGTCTCAATAAAAGATCAGAGGAACGCGAGCCAACTCTAGGCTGTCACCCTTGCAGATTGTGTTTGGGTGCATTCCTGGGGCTCTGGGGGAGGCTTCTAATGCCGCTAACATCTTTCCTTTTCACATGCACAGAGATAAAGATGGCAAGTTATCAGGGAGTGAAGCAATAACACCAAGTGTGTCCTGAAGACTAACGGAACAGCGTAAGCATCACCCTGAAATAACGAGATAAAATGACTCCCAATAAGACAAAACCACAATGCATGTTAACAAGGCAGAGGCTTCTCCTAATCCCATTCTGAGTAATTTTTTACCTTTTCTCTAGAACTGTTTTTTTTTTTTTTTTAATACTTTCATCCTGAAAGAGATTATCAGGATGGAAAATTTTTGCCTGAACAGATGAACCCCTGCAAAGCTGCAAGTGATGGCAAAAGGGACTTAAAATGAGATGTGTCATGCATTCCTATGACTAGGAACCATTGCATTGCCTATGTCCGTTATGAATGAGCATGAATCATTCCTCACTTGTTTACGATGAAAATATGGCTTTAGAGAATTGAAATGTAAATTTCAATAAAGTCAGGATTTACTAAACTAAACAAACTAGTTTTCTGCCTTGCTCTTTAGAATTGCCCAATAGTTTTCTCATTTTGGACTTGTCAAGCTTTCCCCCCCCCCCCCATGTTTCTAAATTCCTCTTTACAGCATAATAGAACACATTAACTTAATTTTTAAAAGTCAGAGTATACTAGTAGGATTTGAGGTCAATACTAAGTTAGCTACATACCCGGAAAATCTAATAATTTTAAAAGTTTTGGGGTTTTTTTGTACACCTGAAAAAGTTTAGCCAAAAAAAACCTGAGGAACCTCCAGCATTCAATCATTTGATTTCAACTGATCTGCACATAAAGCCTGAGAATAACATCTTGGAGACCTGTCTGAAAACACATTGTGAATCATGGATAATATTTCTAGACAAACAAGTAGCAACATTCATAACAGTAATTTAAATGTGCACAAAAAGGAGTATACGGCTTCTACTGGTTTATGGGAATGTATAACTAAAATAGTAAATAAAAACTTACCGTATTCAAGCTGGGATCTACCTGTAAGCTGCAGAAGATACTCCTCGTTAGTATAGACTCTCTGAGCAGTGAATGAAAAACCCGTGATATCTGCACGTGCTGCACCAACACATTACACACTGCGGTTGTATGAAAGCAATGGAGTTATCAACAAACATGAGATGGGTTGACTGAAACCAGAATTTTGCATTCTCTTCTTTTAAAACAAGAGGGACACCACGGATCTTTTTTTAATTTTATTTTATAAATCAATAGCTTTATAAACATACAAATAAACCAAATATATTATATTTGTGTTGAAATATCATTTCAAGGTTTTACACTAAAGATTATTTTGAGTTTAGAGCTGAGTTTAGGAAATGTTTAAAATTCAAAACACCCTAATTACAAAAACATATCAGCTTGATTTTCCTAACTCCTTCTGTAAAGAACACTATCTAATTTAAAATTAGATCCTTAGACTGAAGGAAAGCAAAGTAAACAAAACACAGGGTAGAATAGGAAACTAATTTGTAAGGAGTCTGAAACACCTTTGTTTAGACAAGATTCAAAGTTACAAATCTTTATTTTCTTTTACTGGGGAAACTTCTAACTAGATGTAGACTGTCATTCAACACAACACTTTGATTTTAAGCACACAAACATATTTCACCAGAGATAACCAAAGTGCAGGGATCAAAGTCATTTTACTGTCTAGCTCTCATGGAAATAAAATGCTTTACTGAATCAGGGTGTTTATAGCTGGACTCTCTTCCCATCAAAATACACAAGATCAGTGATGAACTCTGAAAGACCAGGGAATCCAAACTAGATGCTTTTAACAATGTTAATGAAATTAAACTATACTGAACTTAAAATCCAACCTACCAAATACTAATGGTTAAACCCAGTGGTTGCCCTCTCCTGAACACAGTTTAGTATGCCAGCTCTCCTCACCCACTTCTCTTTCCATGGAAGTGCCCTTGTTGCCTCTCACACAAGAGAATGCGTCTTCATTGCTACTAGTTCCAACTAACCTCTGGAAAAGCCTATTTTACAAGTTTATTCTGAATTCTGATTAGAAAACAGACTCAACAATTCAAAACCACCAGCAAAAATCACTTTAGAAGATAAACAAATCAGTGACAACTCTCTACACAACAGAGCATTATAATTTTTGCAATTCAGACACCTTGGGCTCAATGTTCTTACTGTTTATGCCAACATAAATCAGAACTGACTCTGCAAAGTTACTCAAGTGTGTAACTGTTTTGGACAAGAGGTAAGAGCCTTTCAATACTCTTTCCCATCGTTGGCCTACAGAGCTGGTAATCAAATGCCAACATCTCACACCTTCCTGGCAAGATTCTAAAAAACCAAAAAGCAGGATGGTAAAAACACAAATTAATAACATTTGCCACTATTATCCAGCTAATGAGCTGCTAGTGGTGGGCACTGTAGCAGAGTTTAAAGAAGGTGTCTGATAAGTTACAGGAGTAAGCTTCAAAGACAGAGGACTGAGAGATCCCCTACAATGAAAACATTATTAGTAACCTAGCTGATTTCCAGGTATCTTCCAAAACATTCTCAAAACAGCCTTAGGAAGTCAAGATCTGTGGTGAAAATCACTTGCTATGATAAACAACTAAGTTACAACTCTGTATACAACACAGCTTTATAAGTGAGTTAGTTCTCAAATAACTGGCAAGGAACTGTAGCTGTTAGAAAGCCAGTTAAAAGAAAAATTGGTGTTGTTTTCCAATTGTTCCCACGGATTTTTATCAGGCAGCACAAATCAGTTACGTGGAAGTCAGTCCAAACTGAGGTGCTTTTTCACTTGTTTGTCCCACTCCTCCTGTTCTTTTGGAGCAGCAACAGGCTGCTCCCCACACCAAGTTCTATATAATGGACCAGGTTTGGCTGCCAGACACACTTCTGTGAGGCAAGGACAGCCCCAGCATGTGCCTCCTCGCAGGGCTGAAAGCAGACTCAGGCCCACTGCCTCAGTCCAGAAACAATCCTGTAATGCTCTGAAGGACCAGCGTAGACTGGAAAATTTAATGGAAGAATCATCTTTCCCCTCAAATGTGACCTCTCGCTTCATAGATGTAACCATCATTAATACCATATGCTTACAAACAATCCTCCAGCCCACCAAACCTGAGAAACTTGGTGCTCACTTACAGAAGCAGATAGAAGAATATCTCTGGTGAAGTCCAAGAAGTTACGCTGGCCTGACAGCAGCACTGGGGAGAGGCTTAAAGTGTCCATGAGCAATATTTTAATAAAAAGGTTCATTTTTAACTCATTTTCCTACACCATTTTCCATTCCAGTTTCTCCGCAGTTGTCCTTCTGGTCCATCTTCCAGGCAGTTTCTGGATTCTGTGTATGTGTAAAGACCACTACTTGCAACAAACTCCATTAGAAAATACTTATCTTTGACAAATCACCCACTCGTCTGTTTTCCCCTCAGTGTCCTTTTAGCAGGCAGTTAATGAAGTCAGCAGCAGTGACCCTTAAAGTGATACTTACAGAGTACTCACTGCTAATACATTGCTTAGAGCAATTCCTCCAAACAGATGACAGGGAAGGAGTGGCAAGGACTTCTCTGTTCTGTTTTGATTTGTGATTTGTTTTTTTCTAAAGCAGATTTTAACGAAAAAAATCAGGGTTGCTTCAGTGTTCCATGAGTTCCGATTCTCTACTGACTTCATCCTTCCTCCTTTTCCTCACTCAAACTCAGGCTGCTTCTAGTCTGGCTGCATCAGCAGGCTGGCTGGGCCAAGCTCACAGGGTTCCCTTTCCAGGAGGGGTTTGGGGGGGATGCTCCAGGGAGTCTGGGGAGCGTCCTTCGTCGCTCCCATGGGCTGACGGGATCTCTCACCAAGAGGAACCTCTTGTCGACAGCCTTGTTCTTTCTCCTCTTCTGCCAAAGTCTCTGCCGTTTTGTCACGTGTTATAGGCTGTTCTTCCACTGGAGAAAATGGGTATGTATTACTGAAAGGCATCTGAGAAGCTTCACAACTAAGCTACAAGAAAGCTAATGGCAGCTTTCAAAGGAAGCACAGAATTGGGTTCAGAAAATTGCAAAACCAACTCATGTCAAAAGAACAAAAAAAGAGGCAAAGTTAAGAACTTGCTTCAGATTTTAAGAAATGACTTGTCCTAAGCAAGTTTCATGGTTTTCTGTTTTAATACATAAGAGCAGGAAAAAGAATGCCTGTGACAAGAAGATTACTTGCCTGGCAAAATTAAAGCCCCTTCTCCGAAGTCAAAAGATCTTAGAATTATTCACTGGCATGGCATAAGAATTTTATTTAACGCGTTAGAAAAGCCATCACATTATTTACCAGTTTTGATGTTTAAAATGGTTGAAGCACTTTTGCTAAAATTCTCAACTACGAAAAAATCAGACACCTGCCATGGGAAATTCTGTTCCAATAGCTGCGTCTGATAAAACTATAAATGAAAACAGAGCCTCCAAATGGGAAACATCAGGCTTCCTTCGCTGGACAATACAGTTCCACACATGTTCACAATGTTAGCCCAACCAAGTAAATGTGAGGTATATTTTCTACTGACAAATAAAGTGACTTCCCAACATATGTCTAAGGACAGGATGGGTAATTTTGAAAGTCTTGCAAGATGCCCACCCATTCGAGTATCCCCAAACATTTGTCTTTGCGTATTTCTAAACAACTGATGCAAATTGGGTTCTTTAGTAACTTCTGTAGTTAGGAGGTAAATAAGACAAATGGTTAAGGATATAAGTTTTTCTCCATCAGTTCTCACCATCTGAGCAATTAGGAGATTCAGTTGCCATTTCCTAAAACTCAGAGTGGTCCAGCTGGTAACCTGTGGGCCATGGAAGCCTGTTGCGTGCTTCTGTGCTGCCTGCTGCCTTTGCACCAGGGATGGGGGGCACATTTCCTTCATTCATCTCATCTTTGTTTAAGCACCAAACACTCCCCAAGCAGTCAAACATCTTGTTTAACACAAAAAGCAGAACTGTAGTTGCTGTCACAAGGCAAAAGGTTTCTGGGGAGACCAGGACTCCTCACACCATTTCAGTTATCCTGCCTGAATGAATAAGGCCTGTCAAAGTATATTGTTCCACAGATATATGTTCCCCATCAGTATGATGGGCATAACCTCACTTGCTATGAAGCAAACCTGTGAAGTTCTATATAAATGCAAAAATATGATCTTATTACTATCACGAGAAGCATCTGGCTTCTTATGAGTGTGAAAGCACTGTTGTAGTGTAATTCCTCATGAATAATTTGCAAAGTGAAGGACTGAATGGTCTCTTCACAGCAATACAAACATGGCTTCTGCTGTGCACAGAAGCTTTAAACAGGCCAGAAATACAATTTTGATTTCTCTATCTCCTCTATCAGCCACTCCTCCTGCTGGTACAAAGCTGAGGAGAGATATAATAAGGAAGGAAAACCCACTCACCGTATTCTGAAGGACAGGCAGGATGAGGATCTGCTGTCTCACACTCAATTAGACCAACCACTTTAGTCTCCAGAGAACTGTTACACTCCTTAACAACTGCAAACTGCAAATACATACAACATGCACAAAAGATACAGAGCCCAAATTAATATAAAATGAACCGGTTTTCTGAAACCCAAGAGGAAAACTAGAAGGGCCACACAATCTAACCACAGCAAGGGGAAAAAGGTCATCCTGGCTTCTGGGATGCCCCTTCCCCTGCAGATAATTAAACATTTGAGTTGATGACAGCCCCGGTCTTTCTTTGGAAAATGCACAGTCCCAGTCTAGTAAAGAACTACCCCTTCTCTTGCCTTGCAAATCAACCTTTCCAGATGCAAGAACAAAAGATCATGAAAATCAACCCTCTCCATAGTACTGAGGGCCACTTTTGAAGTATGAAAGGGACCTGCGACCAGCCAGCAGGAAGCCCTGTCAGACCCAGGGAAGGGAGCGAGCCTCCCTTTCTGGCTCTCTGCACCACCCGGGGGGTGCGGTGCCATCGTCCCACGGGGACAGTGGAAGTAACACCTCGGAAGCAGAAGGTAGGACCCTCTAGGGGAACGTGCTGAAAAGACCAGGGGGGAAATGGAAAAAAAAGGGGTAGAAGAAAGCAATGTGAAGAACTGTGCTGAAA